ACGAAATTTTGTCATTAAATATGTTTCCACATGTGCACAAACAAAATTGTCACATATTTCTTCTAAATCGACATAGAATGAACCCCAGTATTCTATTGGTAGACTAAATCAAGACTATGACACAGATAAAGAAAACAATTGTAAAATAAATATCTATAGTATCTACTTTTTAAAAATTACTTACGCAAAAAATATAGGAAAATTCTACATAAATTCAAGTACATTCTTAGATATTTTGTAGGTTTATTAAATAAATAATCATACAGTAAATTCTCAAATTTCTTAAAATCAACATGCAATGAGCCACAGTAGACCAAAGCTTACCAAAAATCCCTTCCTATTTTGCTAGAATATAGTTAGATTTTACCACAGGTGAACATTTATTATTTAGTTAATTTATTATTAGAAATTGAAAGTATTTATATCGACTTCTAAACTGGAAATGATTAATTGTTAAGCACCAAAAAATATTGCTTTTGATGAACAGATCAAGCTAACGTTTTAAATTTTGTCTATGGTCAATGAAAACAGCAACTTAATTGTTTTTTGGTTAAGCACAAAAAAGCATTTATTTTGATGAACAGATCAAACGCAATTAAAATTTTGTCCATTTGGAACAACGAAGTGTTTAAAACAATAAATAAAACAATCTGGAAATGATGTGGAATTACTTACCGCCATGTTCGATTAGAGCTTCCAGAATACTATAATGTTTCCACAATTATGAAGAAAAATTGTATAATTTTTCCATGTGTAATTTGCATACAAAACTCTTTAATTGAGGTTTGATTCGCGTCTTTCAACGACACATTAACAATTAGGGCGAGATCCTCATAAAAATGGGGAAATTATTGGAAAATCGTCTAGCCTTCGATAAAAAATTACTTAACCTGTCCTTGGCAAATGGTTTAGTTTAAGGCGAGATTTTATAAACAATTATTTTAATTAGTTGAGTAAGAAAGTAGATATAATTCTTTAAGGTAAGTACGAAATTGCACCCAAATGTATTTGGAACATTTGATTTTAATCTAAACGTCCTGTTACTTGGATTTTTTTATGAATATAGATAATACACATCGATCTGATGAATGAAATAACATTAGTTTGGAGGCAAAACGAGAACTTCGCCATATCTTAATTTTTACTAATAAAAATTAATTATGAAGAAGGAACTAATTGAGCGGATAAGTAGACAATTGAATAAAAGAAGAAAAGTTGGCTCAATGGAAACTTGAAAATTAAATAAGTAGATAATTTAATTATATAATAATGTACCGTGGATGGCCGAGTATCAAACTCTTTCTTCTGCTTCCAACTTTTATTCCACTCGGTATCGCTTTAACTACGGAACAGGAACAAACTAACTTCAAAATTACCGTCAACTTCACAAACAATAACAGTAACAGGCGGAAAACTCGCTCTTCCGACTCACGGGGTTTAACCTCTTCTGCACCCGGTCGTTGCTGTCACTTCACTCCCCCGTCTTTTTTTTTTT